GATCATAACAGCATCATACTTCATTTTGGTGCAATCCAACGACAACGCAGCCGGCCGAAACGTAAGATGGCGTTCCAATTACGTGAATGTGATATTGAGGCAGTATGCCAGGAGTTCGGAGAAAGTGATAAGCGCATAAATGCCCTCATCTATGATGACTATGCCAATGCACTTCGGCTGGCAATCACCACACGGTCGATTATGAGAGGCTCAAGCAAGAAAAGACGGCTTGTATCGTGGTGGGATGCTGAAATCCGGAGATCCATCCAACTCAGGCAAGACGCAAACCGAGACCATCGCCGGGCTCTGCGGACGCTTGGAAAAGCACCGGAGACTCTGTGACTCTGGGAGGAATACCAGAAGCTCAAGGCAATCACACAATCTATCGTCGAGGAGAAAAAACAGATACATGATTGCAAGGTGATGAAAGATATCAGAAAGGGTGGAAAAAAAGCCGGAGAGAAATTCTGGCGTTATATTGGAACACTGGATGGAAGAGATAATTCTTCCCAACTGATCGATGCCAAAAATGGAGGTGTAGTGTACAACGTTAGAGCTCTCTTGGATGAACACCTTCACAATCTTTTTGGGACGACACAGGATTTCCACGGTAATGAGAGCGCGTCAGCAGGAGGCCCTTATATCAAAGATCCACCGCTACTTAATTTGACCAGTGACAACACCACCATCGTGGGTAGAGTACAGGTCGCACGCGCTCTCGCGCGGTTGAACGGCGGCACTGCGCAGGGCCTGGACGGAATCCCGGCTAAGGTACTGAAAGGCCTGGGACCCGACGCTCAAGAGCAGTTGGCCCACTTGTTCAGTCGCATATGCTGCGGAGATGACCCGATCACCACTGACTGGAGGCGCGGTCGAGTAACCTTCATCTCGAAAAAAGGTGGAAACAACCAGCTGTTGCATGACTACCGACCGCTCACCGTCACGGCAGTTGTATGCAGAGTACTCACGACTATCATCAATTGGCGAATCACAGCATGGGCTGAGGGAGCCAGCGTGTTTACGGAACTGCAGAACGGGTTTCCAGTTGGCCGGCGGTCGGACGATAACCTGTTTACATTGACCCAATGCATCGAGATAGCGCGAGCGGAGAGGCGACTTCTGATATGCTGCTTTCTAGACATTGCTAAAGCGTATGATTGTGTCCCTCACCTAATGCTGTTGGAAAGGCTGAGACACCTTAATATGCCCCAAACATGGGTGAGGTCGATCCGTCGGTTATACGACGTCAATGTGGTGACGACATCCTTCAATGGTGTGACATCAGGCGAGGTCACAGTTGGAAAAGGTTTACGACAGGGCTGTCCGTTGTCGCCGACGCTATATATGCTATATGCCTCTAGCATGGAAAAGGCCATTGAAGACACTGGCATTGGTTTCACTTTGGAACACCGCCAGCATGGTGATATTGTAGCGTGGCGACTCCCTGGCCTTGCCTATGCTGATGACCTCGTGCTGATGGCCGACAGTTTGGAAGGCATGAGGAGGTTGCTCGTCGCCTGTGAAACTGCAGCGGAACACCTCCGACTACGCTTCAATGCTGGCAAGTCAGCGACAGTCATCTTTTCTGGCGAGGGGTGCAATCTTGGGTCGCTCATCCTGCAAGGCTCAGCCATACCTCTTCACACCGAATACAGGTACCTCGGAATAACACTATCGGCTAGAGAGGACTAGTTGACTGAGCACCATGAGGGCCTCAGGAGGTCCTCAGTTAGCAAGCGGAACATACTGCGAAGGCGGAGCCTATGGAGCTGTGACCGGTACATTGTCACCCGAGAACTTTGGAAGGCTGTGGCTGTGCCCGGGCTGACTTTTGGAAACTCAGTCATATGTGTTCCTAGTGAGCTACGCACATATCTTGAGCGGCGCCAAAGGGAGGTCGGACGACAGGCACTAGGGTGTCATGGACAAGTAGCCAATGAACTGATAGAGGGCGATGTCGGCTGGTCTTCCTTTGAAGCGCGGGAGGCAAACAGCAAGCTTCAGTACTACACACGTCTCCGGTACATGAACGGAGACCGGTGGGCCAGGCGAGTTTTTATGTACATTCACCTGAAGCATATCAACTCGACGTGGAGGAAGCGAGTCACTCGTCTTGGGACAAAGTTTAAGATCTTCAGCTTGGCCACTGAACCTCAAACAGAAAAGGAGTGGATGAGCACAGTGCGGGAGGAAGTGAAGAGGGTTGAGAGAGACCGTTGAATGAGCGGCATGCTACAACACCCTTCCATGCACATGTACGCGTCTCTGAAGACGGAGATTGCCCCGGTGACTTTCTGCGGGAACACACTGGGCAGTCGACTACTTATAGAGGCCCGTGGTGGTGCCCTACGTACCCGCCTATACCGAAGCAAGCACGATAGCAGCGTGACTGACACGGTATGTAGTGCGTGTGGAGCGGGCGAAGAGACAATCGACCACTTGCTGCTTGCGTGCAGGGCGCTACACCCAACGCCTGTCGTGGGTGCCCGCTTGGAGCAGGCACTTGGTTTCACCAACGAACAGACCCATGTAGTATGCTCCAAGCGGAGGCTCGAGGCATGGTGGCAGACTCGACTGAAAAATCGGGGTCGTGACCAAGACGATCAAGGTGACCAAGATGGCCAATAGCCGCTGCTTTACTTTTGGCTGGAGGGGCAAGCGTTCACTTAAAACGACGGTGTCATGTGAACTGATTAACTTTGACTGTGCGAAAGTGACGGTTGGCGAACTTTGGACACGCGTGCTAACCAGTTCTCTTTCGTTGTTGTCCTTTTTTATTTAGTTTTTATTTTTTGCTTTTATTGGCATGTCTTACAAGACTCTCGTTACAAAGAGATTGTGCCTCAAATATACATACATACATACATACATGTGAAACTGAGCTTGATCCAGTAACGTTGTCTATGGTTAGGAGTGTTTATCTTGCTGCGACTGGGTGAAGTTGGTCGTATGCTTGTTTGCCCCTAGTTCCTGTTGGCGACGTGAGCTTTCGAAAGCGAACGACGTCAGCAAAAGATTTTCCCATCGACCAAAATAAGAGAAATATAAGAACTTCCATTTTGACGATCTCGGCAGTGTTGCTTTCAAGGCGCAAGGCTTTCAAGGTTCCGCCATGCTCATTACAATCACATCACCATCAACCTTGTTGCTCGCAAGACAATGACGTCACGAGAGAGAACCATAGGAGGGCGCCATCAAAACATCTCGCCACCAGTACAGGAACTCTAACTGCACTCGGAGCTGGCGCGTTCCCAATATTTGTTTTTAATGCGGTAGCATTCTTTTGCTACTTCATCCGGTTTTCCCGATACGCTTTCTAGCCTCGAATGCGCCGTGCATATGCGAGGCGGGCGTATGTTCCGCGCGTCCGCGGAGGCGCCGCGCCGTTTTGAGATCGCCCTAGACGTAGTCTTACATAGAGGTCGTCCTAGACGTCGTCTTTGACGTCGTCCTCTAGGACGTCGTCTTAGCAAGCAGATAAACCCGTGCCGCGCATACACGGAGCGGCAGTACCCGCACGTTCACATTTGCGCCCAAGCTACGAACCAACCATCGGCTTGAGTTGAGCTAGTTGGTACATGGTCAATGATTCTTGTGAAACAGCATGAACATTGGGCGATTACAGCGAGACAGGACAAGACACACACGCGAAGCTGCAATAATGGTTGGGAAACAGCTTGAACCTTAAGTGATTGCACAGACACAGAAGATTAAACGGTTACACAAAGGCGAAGTGATCACTTAATTTCGAAGTGGCGCGCTGCCATCGCGCTGATGTCAATGATTGCGTCGTAAACCTTTCATAGTGTTTACTAACATTTTGCATCGTCGTATTTAGTGAGCTGCGTCGTGAGCCTCATGACGAATGCTATTGCAATTCATAGAGAACCGACAATAGTGGTTTCCGCAGCCAATAGCTCTTCCCTTCTTCGGCGTGAATTTTGGACTGAGCCGTTCACGAGTAATCCTCAGCATGGCGTGACTCTTTCATCTTCTTTAAAGCACTCGCTTGTGTCGCGTTTCTCGCTCGTTCTCAAAACAATACCTGTCGGTACTTGTAAGGAACGCGAAGCGTAAGTTCTATTAAGAAAGCTTTAATCTTCTCCGTTCATATAGGGCCTTAATTCTTACCAGAGCTGCCGCTGTGACGAAAGCATCGGGGGTATACGATCGCAAAAAATCAGGTTTGCGGGCTTCTTAGGTGACAAACTATACGAAAGGTATCCGCCACGCCCCAGCGAGGAGTGAAGATTGATTTTGTCCACCTGGGGATCTTTCGACGTGCAACCGAAATCTTGGTTAGTCGGCGCCTTCTCCGCAATACGCCTCTGCCAGGTTGCGGGGTGCTATCGAAGCTAACTTCATCTATAGCGTGTCGCAAAAAAAAAATATATAAAAAATGTTGTATTTTTTTTTAACCGCAAGAATAAACTATGCATCGCCGTATACTCTTATTTTCCGCCCAAATGTAGCGCTACCGGTTTAAACCAGATGACGAGGCTTCAGAACTAACCATTATCTCAGTCAAAAGTTATGTGATTTCTTGAAAATACCAATGGAAAAATGACACCGTTTTTGTCCTTCGTTTTTCTTTTGTAACTTGCGTTTTTTAGCATTATGCATTCGAGAGGTCCGTCGGCCGTACATTTCCCATGGAAAATTCTAGAAGATCGCTTATAGCTTTTGAGTAAGATAGCAGTTAGTTCTCAAACTCTGGCATGTTGTTCGGACTGCTGGGACTGCATTTAGGCGGAGAATGAGCGTTCAGAGATCCTTAGCGCTATTTTAAAGTAAAAGAAAAAAGACTACTTTTTTTTGTGTGTGAATGCTGCTGAAACAGCGAATTTCGAAGTAGTAAAACTACTCTTTTTTTTTATTTTTAGAATGGCACTGCATCACAATTTGTGTTACCATAGCCCATGACACGACAATGCGAGAAATGGACGATTTCTGTTTTGTTTTGTATTCATTTCCAGCAACAATTCAAATGAACCACCCTGTGTTGCGTGCACGGCGTCATTTCTCGCTCCTCGGGAGCAAGAAGTAAGTGTAAGGGGCGTCGTAGAAGTGCAGCTCGTCCTCTTCGTGCGCAATGACACCACCCCCGAGCAGGTGCCGGCCGTACATGACGGCTTCCGGTCGACTTCTCACGAGCCCGGCGTCGGTCAACCAGTCCACCATCTTGTGGCCGTGAAAAGGAATCCCCCGCATTGACGCCGGAATCCTGCACAGAGTTGAGGTTTAAACAGAGCCACCGAATTAGCGATACTTCGCAGTAACGGAATTTCAGCCACCTTACTACTTGAAATCTCACTGTTGACAGTTACCCAGTGTTGGTGTCAGCACTACAAGTAACGGCGTCACCGGTAACACGTTACCGTTTTCCGTGACGTAATAACGTACTCGATAGATTTTTAAAACAGCACCTGCTAACGACGTAGTTACATTACGTATTTCAAGTAACGGGTAACGTAGTTATGTTACTCGATACTTTTTCTCAGAATATAAAAAAGTACACTTACGTGTTTGTTTTTTTCGTGTTTCTATACTTTGTTTTTCCATAAGTACATACGCAGCCGACGATACGAGCTAATGGGGCCAATCAGACCGTGTGAAAAGGGTACCACCATGGCGTTTTTCATGTGCCTCTACATGTTCTACCATCGCTGAACCAATCATAAAGAGAAAACACTCAATGACTTAAGCATTTAATACTTCTTGATTGGCCTCATTAGCTCGCAGCGTCGACTGCGTCGGGGCTTAAAGGGGCCCTGAAATCATATTTAAGCGTCTACTTTTTTTTTTATTAGGATGCAATTAAATGCCAAGGTGCAAGCGAGCTGGACAAGAATAACGAAAATAATCCCTGGAGAAGGGGAACAAGAAAGACAAAAAACAAACACAAATCTCCGAACACAGCTAGGTGACTGGTGCGCGACCGTTTGCTTTACTGACGTCTAACCGATGGTTAGCTTAGTTGGTCCACCTGTAATGGAGAGGTCCCGGGTTCTATATCCGGACCAGGAGGATTTTTTCGGTCGCGCACCAGTCACCTAGCTGTGTTCGGAGATTTGCGTTTGTCCTTTGTCCCTCTTTTTCCCCTGCTCCAGGGATTATTTTCGTCATACCTTTTTTGCGGTTTCCACGTCCCTCGGGCTTGGGGCAAGCCAGCGGGCACGGAGAGAGTAACTAAATATCAGTGGTGTCATATTTTAACCGGACGACGCGGAAACCTTCTCCGCCTATACGGGGGCGACCCGCGGTACCGCAAGCGCGCGAAATGTGAGGTATTTTGTCCTGGGCTTACTACTGGTCAGAGCCGCTAAAAGCTTCTTTTTAGACGAAATACAAAATATAAGTGGCGCGAACCGTTTCAATTATAATGAAAATAGTTTTTGTTCAGTATTTTAGATCAGAAAAGAAACAAATGCAGTGTATAAAGTCCGGAAACCAGAAATAACCCGTCGACATACCCGCCACCAAGCGGTAAAAAAGGCGGCGCATACTAGATAGGAATAGTGAGATCAGACTCCGACGAGTGGCGAGCGTAGAAAGGTCCCGGATGTACGCGGCGGCGCTGCGGTTGTTTGCGGACTTGAGGATCCGACCGGTTCAGAGCGTTCCGAAGGCCTTCGGCGCAGGTTTGGCTTGCTGTTTGGCCGTTTCGCGATATGGCAGCGCGAAGTGGCTCCCGTTCTGAACTGATCTTTACCCCGTGTTTGCTGTCGTTCGCGGTCAATGAAGTGTCATGCCGAATTAGTGTTTAATCGCGCAGCAAATGCAATGCGAGCCGCCCTGCCTGCTCGCTTCATATAGAAGCTTTACACACGCGCCAGATTGAGCCGCCATAGCCGCCCTTTTCTTGTCTTACCGAAATGCCGAGCCACTGAAGCGGGCGTTGACGGGTCTTCACAAGGGCCTATGCTGGGCCCAAGAACACTGTAGCATCTAAAATGGCAATAACTTGTCCTGCTGTGGTAATGATGAAGTGAAGCGAACGGAATAAGAGGGAACAAAAACTGAAGGTCAGTTATGGCGGCGCCCATGCACAGCTGCTGTAAAGCGTCTATAGCCTATCCAGAACATGCTTTAGTGGCGCCCTCTCGAGCCTTCGACACGGAGTGCGGCAGCCGTGAGCGCTTGCTGAGCTCACTACCCCTCCTTTAGTTCACGCCCACTCAAGCAACCAAGGACGTCATGAGGGAGGTTATTTTTTGCTTATTTTTGTAATTTTAATTTGCCTATAACGTTTAAACTAAAGCGAAATTCGAGAAAAGAAAGGTTTCACTAAGTTACTACGTTCAGTGCGCTCGGGTTCGGTGCAAATTAAAAACCAGTAAAAAAGTCCTTGCAGGGCCCCTTTAAGCTGAAACGAAGCATAGGCGTCGAGTCATTCAGCATTGCACCCATTGCACATACCTTCAAAATTTTGCCCGTCTTTTTTCTACGCAAAATATCCCACTTTGGAAAAAAAAAACGCCCACAGCCTTTGTCCCCAAGTCAAAAACCGCTGTCGCGAAAAAAAAAACAACTCTGTAGCCGTTTATTTATAATTAAACGGTAACGTAAAAGTAACGTGCGTAATTTTTTATCGATAACGATAACTGTAACGCGTTCCTTTTATTTTGAGGAAACGTAAGGATCGGTAACGCCTTCCTTTATTTTTCAAGTAACGACAAACATATTTCGTTACTTTTTTTTTTTTTTTGGTAACACACACAACATTGCAGTTATGTGAAGTCACTTAATCTCGAATCACCGGAAACGGTTTTTTGTCCCCCGGAAATGTGAAAACCGTCCGTTACCGGGCGAAACAATAACGCCCGAGCTTTAGGACACCGCATGTAAGGCTCAAAGCCTCTGAAATATTAAAAGTAACGACCATACATAGCGCTCGTTCTGCACTCAGGTACCAAAATGGCGACGCCCGAAAGTAAATCGACGAATGGAGTACCGATGATCTGATACCCTGGTCAGGCGGGCTAATTTAGTGCACTTCAACGGAGTGCACTTCGCCTTTACGGTCGCTTGTGTAGTGTGTCACACGGCTTCTTCCCAAAGAAGACACTCGGTTTCAAGTGAGTTTGCTTTTCTTCTTTATATTTTCTTTTATCTTGGCTTGTGATGATCGTTTAAAATCATCAAATTTGTGTAAATATTGTCAATAGACCCTTTCCGAAATTCAGTCTGGGCACTTTGATCACTATCATCATCTGTGGTAAGGCATCTGTGCCATACTAATGGCGGCCTTCTAGTGACTGATAAAAGAAGAAGTTGAAGATGCTCCTAAGCGGATGATGCGAGGCCTGAACATTCCGGGGATCAGTACGACGCGACGTAGGAATGAAACACAAGAGCTACGTAAGCATTTATTTCTAATAACTCAGATTCAATCAGTCTGTGGGCGGCACACAGGGGCTTTAAAGCACTTTGGTTTACAGAATTTTTCGAGGCATCTGAGTGGGTTGGAGCTTTGTTCTGAATGCAGGTTCTTGGTCACCATCGAACTGAAAGTGATCGAGAAAGAACTCGCACTGAAAAATTCCTCGCGTGCTGTTGACTTGCGAAAGTGGCGGTGCCGATACAAGTTCATTTCCACCATTGATATGGCAAAACTTAAACTGCTTTACGAACCACCAGATGGCACTGAATTTTGAAAAGGGTCTATTAGCGTAGCGTTTTCTAGTAACGTGTCTTTATTAAGGGGAGGGGGGGGGAGGATCTGTGGGCTGAGTGGGCTAGCTCGCACTAAAGTCACTGGATCCCGGGAAAGTAGCGCCATTGCCTTCCCTACCTGCTAGCCGGACACAAACGGATACTAACATACAGACGACCCAAACCTCGCAAGGCGATTGGCTAATCGGCCTACGTTGCCATGGAAATCGCCATCTTGGTCCATCTAAATCTTCGAAGCTTTCAGGGGGTCGTTCTAAACCAGTCGCGCCAAGATCACCATGGAGCATCATCGTACTGGAAGCGTTCCTCTTCAATATAAGAGTCTCTGGCACTTCGTATGTGATCCACCTATTAATTAGGCCCATCTCCATGAATCTCTTACAATTACATTGTTCTTCTTGCGCATTTCAAGACAGTAAACTTATTTTTCAGTGCCTCCAAGCACCGACACAGCATCTGGTGGTGGTACGAACGTGTACGCCTGTTTTGCCGGTGTGTGGTTAGCAAAATCTCGGTATACAAAAGACGACTCAATAAAGCTACCCGTCACCAGCGAATCTAGATAGGCTCACCAAGAACGGAGGGGTCAAGGAGAAATTGTTCATTTCATGGATCAAGATGCCGACCACACGCAGAGCTTGGCGTTACTTTCCCATGATCCAGTGACTTTAGCTCGCACTAGATCGGCGGACATTGAGCGAAAGCTCGCGCTGAAGAACCCAGGGATCCTGGGTTCAATCGCGACTCCTGTCAGTTTCGATCTGGATGAGCATCGTGCCGGCGTGCGATCGTGAACCACTACTGTTTCTCGCACGTTAAAGACCCCATGCTAGCGGTTGTACCGCACTAGCTAAATTGCTCAGCTGAGAGACATGTCGCCCGTTGAGGTAGACTACCTACAGGCTATATAAACATACATACACACTTTTTTGTCTTTCTTCAAAATAATAAATATCGCGGAGACATTTATGCCTTTAGTTTAACATTTTAGGTGTCTAATAGTACCTTACCCGTCGTTTTTGTCATCATTTCCGTGAGACGCTAATTTACCTCGTGTGGCACCATAACACTTGAAGTAGCATTCGTTGTGCTGAAGTGCACTTGGTTGAAGTGCACTAAATTATCTCGCCTGACAGGGGTATTAGTGTAGCTCATTTTGTTGATCTAGGTTTAGCTAGAGCCACTCGATATGGCAGCGTTGCTGCCAGAGTACCGCCACGCTTTTCCCTGTGCCGCCTCTCACCGCGATCGGTCACACGCGGTACCATAGCAATGAGCTGAGCTGGCTCGGTTTCCGTAGCAACCGAGTGACGATTCGTCACGTGACCTCTTAAGAGCCGTGATGTCATCGGTAAGATGGCAGCGCCCAGAGCTGGTGGATGCGAGTTTGTTCGGTGCGCGGAGTCGTGATGTGCCGCAGCTTGCCGACGATTTCGGGCTTCTTCGTGCTTTCTGACGTATAGTCAGTTACAGGTTAAGAAAAAAGCTGCACATCGATATGTATTCATCCGCCGTCAACTTACCGCCAATCGCGCCCGAGCGTCCTCG